GCCCCGCTGTTCTGGGTTTGCCCGATTCCCGCTCGGCCCTGCACCCCAGCACCCAGGAGCAACAGCCCCGGGAGCCCGCGCCTCCGCTGTCATTGCTAGCCTGTTTCCCCGCGGAACCCCACCTTCTCCAGGAAAACGGGGCTGGAAGGACGCATGGAGTGCGGCGGGGCGGACCCTCAGTGACTGGCTCCGGGTAGCGAGGCGGCGAGGGCGCCATTGTGACGCGCCCGGCTCCGAGCGGAGATTGGTCCGCCAAGCGTGTGGGGGAGCCGGGGCCCGCGGAGGGGGGCGGGAGGGGAGCGGTGCTGCAGAGCGTTCCAGAGCCCCTGAAGGTACAGACTGAAGAGCACCCCAAACATTGAGCCCAAAAGACGCCTAGATCGAAGACCACCGTGAGGAGAGAAAATGGGAGTCATTTCCTGCCGAGGGAGAAGGAACCGAGAACAGCGGAGACATAAAGGCGGTTCCAAGGACAGAGTTTGAGGAGCCGGCGCAGGCTGTGCTCCCAGCTCTTGGGTCGCTACTCCGCATTGTCACGTAGCTTCACCTGGCTCCCGGTTCCCCCGGAGGGCAGGGCTTTGGCCTCAGGCCTCATTCTGGGAGACGAAGTGCCGGGGCCGAGATGTTCATTGCGGGAGAAACGCGCCACTTCGATGTCATTTGAGTTCCTGCTACATCCAGGCCACCCGTGTTTTTTGCTCGAAATGAGACTGAACTTGTCAGCCCTTGGTGAGGAGTTGTTTGTTAAGCACATGTACATAGTTGGAATTAGCAGTTTCGGGGACCAAAGTTGTCATTTCTGTAGCAAAAGCTGCTAAGCGGTCTTCTGTTGCTTTCTATCTTAATTACAATCAGGTGCAGCACTAAGAAAAGCAGCTCTGAGAGCCACGGTTGGTAACCGGCCTGGATGCCCTCCCTGATGAACGTAAGCAATGTCCCATTCTTCCTGCTTTCTAGATAAAAATTAAGCTAGTCAATGAATTGCCCCTGCTTTTTTTTTTTTTTTTTAAGATTTTATTTATTTGAGAGAGAGAATGAGAGATAGAGAGCACGAGAGGGAAGAGGGTCAGAGGGAGAAGCAGACTCCCTGCCGAGCAGGGAGCCCGATGCGGGACTTGATCCCAGGACTCCAGGATCATGACCTGAGCCGAAGGCAGTCGCTTAACCAACTGAGCCACCCAGGCGCCCTTGCCCCTGCTTTCTGACAGCACCCAGAACAGAACGTGTTTCCTTGGACCCTCCCCCAAATCACCTAACAGAAGCCCATATACTATAATGACCCCTCTTTAACACCCCCGTCCTGAGACTCCCCATGGTCTGAGGTCTCCCTCAGTACAGCCGCTAATAACCCTTCATCGTTTGACCATAACTATGTCTGGGTAGTCTTTGGTTGGCATCACCAGTATGAATAAACACAATTTCAGAATTATAAGTAAGCATACACACAAAAATAAAACCTTAAAGTCTATACCGAGAAATAAAAACATTAACGTGAATGGTAAAATGGGGCGAGATCTTGGTATATAAAAAGCTTGCATGCTAAATGCAGTGTGGCATATGTGTTGGGTCCTAGAACAGTAGAAAGACATTAATGGTAAAATCAGATTAAAGTCTGTAGTTTAATAAGAATATTCTACCAGTGTGAATTTAATTTTTTTTTTTAAGAGATTGAGAGCAGGCACGAGCGGGGACAGGGGTAAAGGGAGAGGGAGAAACAGACTCCCTGCTGAACAGGGAGCCCATGCAAGACTCAATCCCAGGATGGGATCATGATCTGAACCGAAGGCAGACACTTAAACGACTGAGCCACCCAGGTACCCCCAATGTGAATTTCTTAGTTTTGACAAACGTGCCATGGTTATATCAGACATTAAATATAGGAAAAACAATAAAGGGTATGCAGGTATTCCCTGTACTATCTTTGTAACTTCTCTGTAGATTTAAAATGATCCCAAAATAAAAATTTTATTTAAAAAAAACTATGAATTGGGGCACCTGGGTGGCTTGGGCGGTTAAGCGCCCAACTCATGGTTTTGGCTCAGGTCATGATCTCAGGGTCCTGGGATCCAGCCCAGAGTTGGGCTCCACGCTCAGCCAGGAGTTGGCTTGAGGATTCTCTCTCTCCCTCCCCCTCAGTTCTTCACTTGAGCCTGTGCTCTCTCACATAAATAAATAAATCTTAAAAAAAAAAAATTATGAACAATTATCCTTTTTGCATTGGAGTGGGAGTGATGGGTGTTATATCTTGAGTGACCCTGGTATGAGGGGCAAATACGGTCACAACAACAGCTCTTCTGTCTCAATTCTAGCTTTTGGTTCTTCCACCCCAACATGACAGGGTTTCTTCCTGGGTCCCCACACACCCCTCTGTCATCTAGCCATCAGTCACTGAAAGTGACTACACCTGGTCAAGGTACTGCCCCATTACTTTATTGTTACGAGGAGATAAGTCAGTCCAGGATTTCAGACTGCTTTCAGAGTGGAAATAAGCTGTAAGTGGTTAAGAACCACAAACGTACAGGAGAAGTTTTGTCAAGGCAGCATTGTCAAATTAAAGAAGGAGGAAACTACCTCTTTTACTCTGCAAACACATTAACATATCCCCTGAGCTTTCCTTGGGGAGGTGTTATATGCAGCCCCCAGCTTTCACCCCAGGCACAGGAGTTCATTGACTCTGTAATGGAAGGCATAAGGCTATGATACACCAAGAAAACGTAGAAAATAGGATACCAGAACTGAACACTGATTGTCACTGGGGAAATAGAACAGCCCGGCTTTTTGTGATAACAGTGAATGGAAATTTTCATTCAAGGGTGCCTGGGTGGCACAGTTGTTTAAGCATGGGTCTCTTGGTTTTGGCTCAGGTCTGGACCTCAGGGTCCTAATATCAAGCCCCTCGCTCAGCACAGAGTCTGCTAAAGTTTCTCTCTTCCTATCCCTCTGCTCCTCCCCGCCTCGTGCTCTCTCTCTCTCTCTCTCAAATAAATAAATCTTAAAAAAAAGGGGGGGGAGTTTCATTCAGGGAATCCTCCTGTAGTAAAAGAAAGATGTAAATATTAAGGGCTTAAGATGTAAATATTAAAACAATTTTAATTTAAATTTAATTTAATTTTAAATTTAAATTTATTTTAATTTTAATTTATTTAATTTATTTAATTTAATTTAATTAATTTTAATTTAATTTTAATTTATTTAAATTTAATTTAAATATTAAAACAATTGAGGGGGGTTTCTTGGGTGGCTCAGTCGGTTAAGTGTCTGCCTTCAGCTCAGGTCATGATTTCTGGATCCTGGGACGAGCCCTGCGTCAGGCTCCCTGCTCAGCGGGGAGTCTGCTTCTCCTTCTCCCCCTCCCTCTGTGCTCTCCCTCTCTTGCTCTCTCTCACTCTCTCAAATAAATAAAATCTTAAAAAAAATTTTTTTTTAAATTGGGACCCTAGGGAGGAGTTTATCTTCTGGAATCTGGTGATTTTCACAATGTTTGAGTGGAGGCTACCTCTGTAGTAGTGCTGTCCGTGGAAATAGAATGTGAGCCATATATGTAATTTAAAATTTTTCTAGGAGGCACATTTACAAAAGTAGGAAGAAATAGGTTAAATTAATTTTATGTTTTTACATATCCAAAATACTGATATGTAATCAATATATAAAATTATCAATGAGACACTTTATATTATTTTTTTACTGGATTAAGTCTTTGAAAGCTGGTGTGTATTTTCTACTGAACACATCTGAATACAGATGTTAAATTTTTATTGGGAATACTTAAAGTATATTTATATTTAAAATTTACAGTTAAAAAAGTAGGTTCACATATCCATGTTATTCCAAACATAGTTAAAAGTTTTCCAGTAACTGAATTATCAGTATTTAAATTTAAATTAAGGCAAGCCTGTGAAGAAATTGGAACTCTTGTGTGTTGCCAACAGGAATGCAAGGTGGTGCAGCCACTATGGAAAACAGCATGGTAAATATTCAATAAAAAAGAATTACCATATGATCCAGCAATTACATTTCTGGATATACTCAAAATAATTGAAAGTAAGGTCTGAAAGCTATTTGTACACCAATGTTCATAGCAGCATTTTTTACAATAGTCAAAAGGTGGAAGCAACCCAGTTCACTGAGAAGGAAGAGAAGGAAATTGTGGTGTGCCTGGGTGGCTCCGTTGGCTAAGAGTCCAACTCTTAATTTTGGCTCAGGTCATGATCTCAGGGTCCTGAGATTGAACCCTGCATCCAGGCTCAGCAGATTCTCTCTGTCTTCCTCCCTCTGCCCCTTACCCTGCTTGTGCTCGCTCTAAAAAAAAAAAAGAGAGAGAGAAGGACATTTCAAGACATGCTACTACATGGATGAAACGAGGACATCATGCTGAATGAGATGAGCCAGTCACAAAAAGACAAGTACTACATGATTCCACATACATGAGGTATCAAAAGTACTGAGATTCATAGCACCAGAAAGAAGACTGGTGATGTTGCCAGGGACTGTGGAGAGGCAGGAAATGGGGAATTGTTTCATATGTATAGAGTTTCAGGGGCGTCTGGGTGGCTCAGTCGTTAAGCCTGAGCCCCACATCCGGCTCCCTGCTTGGTGGGAAGCCTGCTTCTCCCTCTCCCAATCTCCCCGCTTGTGTTCCCTCGCTGTGTCCCTCTCTGTCAAATAAATAAATAAAATCTTTTAAAAAAAATACAGAGTTTCGGGCGCCTGGGTGGCTCAGATGGTTAAGCGTCTGCCTTCGGCTCGGGTCATGATCCCGGGGTCCTGGGATCGAGTCCCGCATCGGGCTCCCTGCTCCTTGGGAGCCTGCTTCTCCCTCTGCTTCTCTCTCTCTCTCTCCTCCTCTGTCTCTCATGAATAAATAAATAAAATCTTTAAAAAATAAATAAATAAAAGGTAATTTATTAAAAAAAAAAATACAGAGTTTCAGCCTTTCAAGACAAAAAGACTGGAGATCGCATGCACAACATTGAATGTACTAAACACTACTGATTATTTTATTTTTTAAATGTTTTTATTTTTTAAAGATTTTATTCATTTATTTGACAAGCAGGGGGAGCAGAAGGGAGAGGGAGAAGTAGGCTCCCGCTGAGCAAAGAGCTGGACTCATGGTTCAGTCCCAGGACCCTGCGACCATGAGCTGAACCAAAGGCAGATGCCCAACTGATTGAGCCACCCAGGTGCCCCAACACTACTGATTTTAGAAAGTGGTTAAGATGGTCAACTTTATGTTGTATATTTTACTACAATTAAAATAAAAAGTCAGGGGTGCCAGGGTGGCTCATTCAGTTAAGTGTCCAACTCTTGGATTTCAGCCCAGATCATGATCTCAGGGTCATGAGATTAAGGGTTGTCAGATTGGCCCGCACATTGGGCTCTGCACTGAGCGCGAAGTCAGCTCGGGATTCTCTCTCCCTCTGCTCCTCCCCCGCCCAGTAAGTAAATAAATTCTTTTTTTTTTTAAAGTCAGGGGCACCTGGCTGCCTCAGTCGGTAGAGCACGCGACTTTTGATCTTGGGGTCATAAGTTTGAGCCTCACGTTGGGTGTAGTGATTGCTTTAAAAAATAAAATATTAAAAAGTCAGGTCCGGGGCGCCCGGGTGGCTCAGTTGGTTGAGTGACTGCCTTCGGCTCAGGTCATGATCCTGGAGTCCCGGGATCGAGTCCCGCATCGGGCTCCCTGCTCAGCGGGAGGTCCGCTTCTCCCTCTGACCCTCCCCCCTCTCATGTGCTCTCATTCTCTCTCTTTCAAATAAATAAATAAATCTTTAAAAAAAAAAAAAAGTCCTCTGTCCCACTAGCCACATTTCAAGTGCTCAACAGCCCTGTGTGGCCAAATGGCCCCCTTATCACACAGTGCAGTTTTAGACTAAGAAAGGAGGAACTGAAATGCCACTATCTTCAACTGTCACTTTGAAAGGACTT